CACCACAAAAAACCCAAACCCCAAACCAAAACCAAACCAAACTAAAACAAAACAAAAACAAAGAATTCTTTTGTAACTTGAATAATTATTCAACCACACACATAATTACATATTGAAGTGGGGCTTTGCTCAGGGCCAGGCACACATCTACGGTTTCTCTACAAGGTGAGACCAGAGTGAGTCCACAAAGACATCTTTGCTTGGATCGTCGGGACTGGAGATGAAGCCCAATCATAGCAAATCGACCTGGGTGGCTTCCACACCATGGGCAAGTAAAGACTGGCACTCCCAGTTTTCAAACTGTGGGCTACCTATTAGTGGGCTGTATCATTTGATATGACATGACAACATTAAATAGAATCAGATAGACGCTATCATGTGAACCAAGAGTAAGGACTATGTGTTATAGAAAAACTTAACGGCTTATTCCCATCCTCTCCCTCCCTCCCCCAACAGACAACAAATACATTTTTTATATATTTTTCAAATTTTTAGAATATAGTTACAAGAAACAACAAATATATGTTATCTCCCCTTGTCACAAAAGATGGGATACTCTAACACTGTTCTGCATTTTGCATTTTTTCACTGAATCCAGCTTAGATATCTTTTGTATCAATATATAAGAGAGTTTCCTCATTTTTTGGTATAGCTACATAACATTCCATTATACAAATGTATCATAATTTTGTGATCATTCCTGTTTGGATATTTCAGTTATTGCCAATATTTTGCAAGTAGTGCTGCAATGAATAATTTTGTAGATATGTAATTTGTACTTGGTCAAGTATATTTGTAGGATACATTTGCTGAAGTGAAATTGGCCCATGTGCTGGGCCAAAGACCATATGCATTTGTAATTTTTATATTTCCAAATTGTGTTTGTAGAGGACTGTACCAATATACCCCCACAGCACCTTATGAGAGGGCCTCTTTCTCTATGGCCTTACCAGTAGAATGTTACCGGATTTTTGCAATCTGAGAAGTGAAAAATAATATCTCAATATGATTTTAATTTTTTATCTTCTTTTAGGGTGAATATCTTTTCATGTATCTTAGAGCCACTAATATTTTCTCTTCTGTGAATTGTCATATTAGTTACCCATTTTTCTGTTATCAATTTTCTCTTTTTTTAAAAAGATTTTATTTTTTTATTTGACAGAGAGTGAAAGAGAGTGCGTGCGTGAGCCTGAGCAGGAGTTGGGGGAGAGGCAGAGGGAGAGGGAGAAGCAAGCTCCCCGCTGAGCAAGGAGGCCTATGTGGGACTCCATCCCAGGACCCTGGGATCATGACCTGAGCCGAAGCCAGACGCTTAACCGACTGAGCCACCCAGGTGCCTGAGTTATTGGTCTTCTCATTGATTTCTTCTATAGTGTTCTCTAGGGAGATTAGCCCTTGGTCTCTAATGAGTTGAAAAAAAAAATTCTTCTCCTAATCATTTATATTTTGGTTGGGCTAATAATGTGTTGTTTTTGCCATGCACACATTTAAGTTTTCATTTCATTACTTTTTTAAAGTTTTTATTTTAATGTCAAATGTTTCAGGTTTTTATGGCTTTTGGCTTTTCAATCTTTGTTGGAAAGTCTTTTTCTCTCCATATTTACTAAGGAATTATTAGGCTGGGTTTTTGTGTGCTGTTTTAGTTGTTCACATAAATAAAATTATACCACTTATAGTATTCTGTATTTTTTTTTCACTTAATCTGGATATCCCTGTGAGAACTAAAGATCCACTTCAATTATATTAGTGTGCTATGCCATGATACTGTTGCTTAGTGATTGATTATCCACTATTAATGGCTTTCAAGTGAGTCTCAGTTTTCAGTATTACAAACAACTAGGCGGGACAAATTTTGCATGTGTCCCAGTGAGTTGTGAGGCTGGGATGTGTGAGAAAGAGCACAGGGGTGCAGGCTTAGGATGTACTTGTTCCATTTGTTTTTTCACTAGCAGGGCTCCCTAGTGGCTCAAGTGTAAGAAGGAGGATCAGACTTGGGAGCCTGGGCTTCTGTGATACAGCATAATGAAACTAAGGGGCCTTCAAATCTTCTGATTCAACTCCCTCATTTGACATACAGGGAAACTGAGACTCATGTAGGAGGACAGTAGCTCATCCCAGCTCAGCAAGCACAACAACCCCAGAGGTTGGCCCAGAACCCAGATCTCTGAGCCCCAGTTTGCAGCTCTGCCAGTGCCAGGCTGTTCCTTATATGGTGTGACCTCTCATTCCCGGACACGTTTTTGGTAAGGTACAATCTCTCAAAAGGCTGGCTGAATAAATCTTGCATTCACTTAGGGAACTGTCTTTGGGTTATCAGTTAAGGGAAAAAGTGAACTGCTGCAAGCCCTCCCTCCCTTCATCTCTTCTCTGTCCTTAGTATCTTTTGTGGGAAAAACAGCCTCCCTTTTGGGTGCCTCTCCACCTCCACCAGCATGGACCAACTGTGCTGGGGCTGGAGTAGGGCATGGAGATTGGAGAGACGCCAGTCCTTAAAATGCAAGGCAGCTGAGACTCAGAAAGGCGTATCTGTGCTGCTCTAGCATTTCTCTATTGGGGGCTCTAAGGGACAGCCAGTTGGTGAAAAAGCTACGGGTAACTCTCCGGGACCTGTATTTGCATTGACAAGCATGCTACTTTAACTAAGACTCTGTTTATTTAATTCAAAAGGTGTGTCCTGTCTCACTAAGTACATTGTTGGCTTCCTGAGTACAAAAACTAGATCTGATGCTTCTTTGCAGCCTTCTGGGTCTCAGCACATTGCTGCATGTTCAGTTGGCTTCTGTCTCTCCATTCTTCCAACCACTGGAACAGTTAGAATCTTTATGTTAAAATTCAGTAATTAGGGGTGCCTGGGTAGCTCAGTCGTTAAGCGTCTGCCTTCGACTCAGGTCATGATCCCAGGGTCCTGGGATCGAGCCCCGCTTCGGGCTCCCTGCTCCATAGGAAGCCTGCTTCTCCCTCTCCCACTCCCCCTGCTTGTGTTCCCTCTCTCACTCTGTCAAATAAATAAAAAAAATCTTAAAAAAAAAATTCAGTAATTATCCTCTTCCAATTGCATTGTTTAGCCCAATCTCTTTCATGGCTGTTGGTCTTGTACCTCCAGTGAAATTACAAGCTCTTTATGGCAGGATTTGCACTGGGTTCCCTCTACTGAATCTCTCTCCCTGGACTTCTCCCCTATTCATCTTGCCTTATTTACACAGGTGTACTCTCACCCATTCTCTTTAGAAGAGAGCATAGATCCTAGGGTTTCCTCTATCAAATGAAGGGAAGTTAATATTTTAATTTTATACCTTTGGTTTCAAGCACTGTTAATTCCTTGTTCTTATGATTCTTGTAACAGCCTGAGATGTCATTCCCACAGTAGGGGGCAGGCTTAGATTTCAAAGCTGTTTCTATTACACAGGGGAAGGAGGGAACTCTCTTACAAGAAAATAAGAATTTCTAGAGAGAAACCACCCCTCTCTCTTCCTTCCCTTCCTGTGCCCATTTCTGGAACCTAGAACTGGGTTCTGCCAGCATATTCTGACTGGCTAACAAAGGGTTCAAGGAATATCAAAGCAAGGATGTGTCTTGACTAAGGGCACTTTGAGAATTTATAGCAGAGATGGCATCAGAGAATCCACATCTTTCAAGCCCAGGGTAGGAGGTGGACTTTCCAGGGCACCAAATGAGGCCTTACAACAGGCTAGGCATACCTAGAAATCCAGTCTATGCTTTGCTAACAGAAGGCCCAATGCATGCAGGTCTACGCATCCTGGGGAATCTTTGCTTACCTCTACTGGCCCTCCTCTAATCCAAAGGCAAGAATATTCTCTGCTTTGTCTGAGACAAAAGCAAACAAGTAAGGAAATGGATTTTATTTAGATTGTAATAGGGAGAGCTCTCCAGATATGAAGATCAGAGTGCCTGCCGAGGTTGTTTTTGCCTTAGGCTTTCATAGGGAGGAAAGTGGGATGATTTGCAATCAGAAGAAGTTTCAGTCAGTCAGGTGAACAGAAAATGTTTATCTCTGTGTCTAGCTAGTTTCAGTGTGGAGGGCAGACTTCTGATCTCAGCCAATTATTCATGAAACAAAGAACAGGAAGTTGCAGGGTCCGAGTGGCCCTTAGGAGCAGGCTCAGACACAAGGGGAAAGGTCTTCTTTGCCTGGCCTATGTTACAGGCTAACAAAAGGGTCATGAAAGAGTGGAGAGTGAGTTTTATCTAAGTCATAGGCAGAAGGGTGGTTCTTTACAGAAAGCCCTTCAAAGATAACTGATAGGTCACGAGGTTTCTTAACCATTGCTCTTCACCAGGGGCACAGGGCTCTAGTAAAGTTTAACAATGTCTTTCATAAGGGGGCCGTTTTGTAAGTAAAAACTTCTACTCCGTATTACTGACCAAATGGTTTCTTAAGATGGGAATTAAGTCATTATTATTTTTAAGTAGGCTCCATGCTTGGGCTTGAACTCACAGCCCCAAGGTGGGGCTTGAACTCACAACCCTGCAAGACCTGAGCCGAAGCAGTCCGACGCTTAACCGACTGATCCACCCAGGCGCCTCAAGTTATTTTAAAAAGATTTAAAAAAGGAAGAAAAATGCCTTGAAAGGGGACCCTTTCAATCACGCCAGTTAGTAACGCACCAGAGTTGCCAAAGCTTCGAACTACAAGCCCCAGAGAGCAGTGCGCCACTTCCGTCCCGTACTAAGGGCGGGAATCAAGCGCCTCGCTGCATGACGGGAAGCATACTTAATTTGCCGTAAAATGAAAGTGTACTTGTAGCGGGTCTTCATTTTCCAGAAGCATAATTCAAGAAGATCTTCCAACAAGGCGCACGGGCAGAGAACCAATAAAGTAACGTTATCATCTCCGTGGCGAACATAACCGGCTCCTGCAAAAGAAGGTATTTAACTGAAGCTGGAGCTCCCGCTCAATTTACCCAGTAGTCTCTTTTCCGGCCACGCTGTGCGTCATTGCCATTGCGTCTTCTCATTGGCCAGATGATAGGGGATGGCGCCTGCGCGCTGCATTCCTTTGAGGGTCGTGGGCAGACGCCATTTTCGCCCCAGAGGTGCTTCTGGGAAGTAGAGCGCGGATCCACACGCCTGCCCGCTTGCCAGGTACGGCCTCTTGTGCCGGGGCTTTTAGTTCGAAGTGTTTGCGCCTGCCGCAGCTGCTGTTTTACTCTCCGCACTCTCGAAACCCTCTAGTCGAGCGGGAGCTTCTGAGCATCGGGCCGCGCCATCGGGGGGTCACATCGCCAGGAAGGAGGTGACGGGGGTGGCGCGGGGCGCGGACACTCCCCGCCGAGAGCCCGCCTGCCATGGATTCGGAATATTACAGCGGCGACCAGTCAGGTGGGGCAGGGACTTGGGGGACAGGGCTTGGGGGGCGGAGCAGTTATTCAGCGGGGCTTGGCCTCTCATCCTCGCGGGGTAGGGGAGGGAGGCCCCGGAGACGTTCCCTCCCCCGACTGGGCCCTCCGTGGACTGTGAAGCGGAGCGCGAAGAGCCCGCTGATCCGCTGCGGCCCCGAAGTTAGAACCTTGGAGAGGGGATTCTAGACGGAGAGCCGTCTTCTGAATCGGCGAAGTTTTTTGCTGAAACTGGGAAGCCACTTCCACATTTTAAGTGCTTCTATGTGTAAAGTCCTAGGGACGGTCTTTCCAGTTACGGATTTTTTTTTTTTTTTTTTTCCCCTGGAGTTGCGAGTGTTTTGCGAGAATTCAAGGGAGCGGTTCAGTAGGGGGTGCGGAAAAGTCTTTCCTAGACTTTTCACACGGAGTTAGGGCTGGTTTAATCTCGCCGGTAAGAGTGGTTTCCAAGTAAAGAAAACGTAGGACCTTTGTTTGAGTTGTATAAATATTTTAGAGTAAGGCGTGTACTCTGGCACTGGTGATTTTGTGCCTTTCCTTCATCTTGAGACCTTTCCTCTTAATCTTTGTTTCCTGTTTATTCATTAAACACTGGGCACCCCCTTTGCTGACACTGTACTAGGCACCGGAGATACAAGGACGAATAAGGCATGACCTAGTGGGGAAGAACTTTACATTTCCTTTCACTTTGTGTCCTACTTCCATGAAGTATTCTCTGTCCGGAGTGCCTAAATGTCTGAATGTTAATCTCTTTTCTGTTTTTGGGTTCACTTCGCTTCGCTATATGATAGCGAATAGTGATGACTACAAAACGCGTTTCCAGGCATGCACTGCTGTTTTGCTTAGAATGTTTGCCTGATATTTTCAAAATAGATTTAAAAATAGTTCTTTCTAAATTGTTAAATTATTTTTCAAATAAATATATGTAATACATGTCTATGGGTTAAGTGCTGGAAGACTTGAAAAAATAACAGTTCCCTGACTTTTCATTCTTATAGCAGTTTTTTTTATTATTTTTACCTTCATATTCTTAATTTATGCTCTTTCTTGTTGCATCATTTTTAGGCATTCCATAATGATTCCTTTTTGTGCTAGGACAGGATTTTAGCCTCTTCTCCCCCACACTCTCACTATTGCAGCATATTTATTCATTACATCAGAACTATTTGTAATTTGTATAAATATTCTTTACTTCTTAGCCAAGTAGAGTAGCTCGTTAGTATGATAGTGATTTCATGCTTATACAACTTTTTGGTTTTGTGTAGTTGACTGCTTCATTTATTTTTATTAAACTTCTAACCAAGTCTTCCCATATGCTCCAACAGCCCTAAATCCCTCTCAAAATACAATTTTACTTTATATTTTTAAAGTATTGGTTAAAGGTAGGTAGCAATTCATTTTTACCATTTTGTAACAGTACAGTATATGCTTTATTTTAAGTTTATACTATTTCTGTACTGGAGTTCCTTGTGCTCTTCATTCATAAACAGATATTTACTGTACTGTGCCAGGCAGTGTTCTGGGCTCCAGGGAATCAGCAGTGAACCAAAATCCTTGCTCTTTTGGCTCTTTCATTCAAGTGAGAAAAGACCCACATTAAACAAAATAACTTGGTAAGTCATGTAGTACATTAGAAGGTGGTAAGTGGTGTGGAGAGAATAGATTCAGGTGTTAACGTAAAGTTGAAATAGTTAAAGAGCACACTATTATTTAGAGGTTGTTGACTTGGTCCTTAGTGATGTTTCTTAAGCTTCACATTTCTTTTATGATGTATTTTTGCTGCCACATATGTCACAATATGTGTTCTGATTGTTGGTATTTATATATAAGCGTTATACTGTTGTCTTATTTACACCATTAGCATCATTAGTCATGCTTCATCAGTGGTAACTTTTGCTCTTACATTATTCTTGATTCATTGTGTTCATTTCAGTTGTAGATGTCATCCATCTTACACCTTAAGTGGGTTTTTGTTTTATTTTTAAGCAGATGATGGTGGCGCTACCCCAGTACAGGATGAACGGGATTCAGGGTCAGACGTTGAGGATGATGTAAATGAGCAGCACTCTGGATCAGACACTGGAAGTGTAGAACGTCATTCAGAGGTATTGGCTAAACAACATCTTTGGGGAGGCTTTTCCCTTGCATTCTGTGAGACGTGTTTTTATTTAGGAGTTGTAGAGATCCTGTCACATGTTGTAGGCTTCAAACCCTGGGAGTAAAGGATTTTAAATTAATAGAGAACTGCTTTAAAAATAAACAGGGGTAGTCTGGTTTCTTAGGAAATCACAGGGAAAGAATTTCTGATTGGGCCCCTCTTCAGATAGTAGGCAGTTTTCAAATGTGCATATTGATTCAGAAAATGGGCCAGGCCCTTTGATATTTGAGTAGGTCTCCCCATCCCAAAATGATGTCTGATAGGGGCAATGAGCATTTGCAAGCTGAAGAAATATCAATTGGGATAGAAAGTTATGGGGATTATCACCTATTAGAATTCTTATCAGGATTTGGCTTTCTCAGTCTGAAGTGTTCCAGTGTATATAATGTATGTAATGACATTAAATAGAATTTAAAAAGCTGTTTTTGATTAATAATACAGAGTAATGTTTGATCTTGTGTACAGCATTTCAACATATTTGGCCTAATAAACATTTTAAAAACTATTTAATTTGCTTCCCTGGTTTCACAGTCTGTACTACACAGTGTTAACAAAATAAAATTGAGACATTTTTCCGGTAATTCAGCTATACGTTTTTGGTAAACAAACTGAAACCCATAGGAATGATAAAGATGATGAGATTTTTCTTTTAAGAAGTTCATGTCTCATATATTTTGTTTGATTACACAGGTACAGAAAATTGTCCAGTTTTAAGTAGGAGATACAATTAGAGATTGTATTATTGATTCTGTTCTTTGACATATCATGTGTTTAGACATCCAACAAATATTTATTGAGCATCTGCTATGTGTTGGGTTCTTTTGAACTATCCAGGACTAGATGAGGTCTCACCATCACCAAAGTGCTTCTCTTCTTGGATTTATTTTTCATAAGGGGGAGAAAGACATTAAACAGTATTTTTTTAAAATTGTGTAGTTTGTTAGGAGATGATAAGTGCTGTGGAGAAAGAAGAAAGAAAAGGATGAAGGGTGCCAGAATAGAGGGCAGGTTCTGTTGTTAAATAGGGAGGTACACATAGGCCTTATTAAGAAAGTGACTTTTGATCAAGGTGTGAAGGGAGGTAAAGGAATAGCCCTGTGGCTGTGTAGAAGAACACACACACACACACACACACACACACTGTTCCAGGCAAAGACCCTTAGGTGTGAGTGTGCTTGATGTGTTCAAGGAACGCCAAGGAGCCAGTGTGGCAAGAGGGGAGTAAAGAGGGGGCACATGAGATTGGAGGCTAAATGGACTGGGAGAAAGGCTTATCTTTTGGTTATTTTGATGCCGCTCAGTTTTTTGTATGCTCTTAAGTATTTAGACTAAATTCTAATAATGTATTAATTGATAGGTAGAAATTACTTGATAATGTAAACATTGTTACAGTTTATTAGTGTGTAGGGCTTTATTAACGTTTCCACTTAGGAAAATAGCATGAGATGATTGACTCAGGGCTTCACGATTCAGTTGTAAATGTAATGTAGGCTTACCTTTAAGCATCTTCAACTACTTTTTTGTAATGAGGTGGATTCTAAATAAATGTGCCTGCTGAAAATTTGGAAACTGTATTAAAAGCTTAAAGAAGAAAATTAAAATCGGTATACTGTTATCACAAATGACTGTTAACTTTTTATATTATTTGTCCTGCATTTTTATTGTCTCATATATATAATGTGTGTGTACATTTTAAGTTACTTGAGATTTTACTGTATATTTTGTATCTATATAATGTTTTTTATCTGTTCACTTAAGGTTGTACATAAGAATTTCTCTATGTCATTAAAGAGTTTCACTAAGCATAATTATATTGCTTATATAATATTTCATAAAATGGATGAACCATTAATTGTTCAACACTTTCCTGATTGTTGGCCTTTAGAGTGTTTCGATATTAAAAATGAAGTCTACTGTGAACATATTTTTGTTCTTTCCATAGATAATCCCTTCCAGGAGGATTATCCTAATTTTTTAAACTACTAGGGTGTAGTTTGAGAATGCCACTTTTACCCTTATTAAGTGTTGAGTGCTGCATTAATGCTCTTTTGGCTGTTTAAAATGGCTTCTCAAGAGAAATTTTGGGTTGTTTTCCTATGAAAAATATTTTCTAGAAGGTAGTGGGGTGTTAAAAGAGTACTGTTTGTATTAAATTGAACAATTCTGATGACAGGCCCAAAACCTAAAAAATGTGTATTAGTTTCCTTTTGCTGCCATAACAGTTTGACACAAATCACTGGCTTAAAATAAAAGAGATTTATTATCTTATAATTCTAAGGAAATTGGAAGTCTAAATTGGGTCTCAAGGGGTTAATGGGTTAAAATCAAGTTATTACCAGGGCCATGTTCCTTCTCTAAAGGAGAATCCATTTCCTTGCCTTCTCCAACTCTGTAGATCAGTTGCATTTGTTGGCTTGTGGTTCCTTCATCATCAAAGCCAGCACCATAGCATCTTCAAATCTCTTTGACCTCTGCAGTCACATCTCTCTATCTCTTACTCTGACCCCCCTGCCCCCTCTTTTTTTTTTATTTTTTATTTTTTATTAACATATAATGTATTATTTGTTTCAGGGGTACAGGTCTGTGATTTATCAGTCTTACATAATTCACAATGCTCACCATAGTACATACCCTCCCCAATGTCTATCACCCAGCCACCCCATCCCTCCCACCCCCCTCCACTCCAGCAACTCTCAGTTTGTTTCCAGAGATTAAGAAGTCTCTTGTGGTTTGTCTCCCTCTCTGGTTTCATCTTGTTTCATTTTTCCCTCCCTTCCCCTATGATCCCCTATCTTGTTTCTCAAATTCCTCGTATCAGTGAGATCATATGATAATTGTCTTTCTCTGATTGACGTATTTCGCTTAGCATAATACCCTCTAGTTCCATCCATGTTGTTGCAAATGGCAAGATTTTGTTTCGTTTTTTTTTTTTTTTTTTTTTTGATGGCTGCATAATATTCCTCTGTGTGTGTGTGTGTGTATCACATCTTTATCCATTCATCTCTTAATGGACATCTTGGCTCTTTCCATAGTTTGGCTGTTGTGGACATTGCTGCTATAAACATTGGGGTGCACATACCCCTTCGGATCACTACATTTGTATCTTTGGGGTAAATACTCAGTAGTGCAATTGCTCGGTTGTAGGATAGCTCTGTTTTCAACTTTTTGAGGATCCTCCATACTGTTTTCCAGAGTCCGTCTCCCTCTTATAAGGACCCTCATAGTTATATTGGGCCTACTCAGATAGTCCAGGATAATCTTCTTATCTCAGGTTCCTTAATTACATCTGCACAGCCCCCTTTGCATGTAAAGTTAACATGCACAAGTTCTGGGGATTAGGATGTGGACATCTTTTGGAGAGGCATTATTTTGCCTACCACAAGATGGTACTCAAAACATGGTTCTCCAATAATGCAAAAAAGGTTTTTCCCATTAGCATTTTAGAGTTTAGGCTGGTTTCTGAAAAAATTCATTTCACTTAATAGTATTCACTCTGTGTGTATTTGTTTAGATCTCTAAGGAAAGTTTTGAAAAAACTCAAGATAATTTATTTTTATTTTTTAAAAATTTTTTATTGTTATGTTAATCACCATACATTACATCATTAGTTTTTGATTCAAGATAATATTTTTAAAATTAAAATTAAAAATATAAAATATGGAAAGTCAAGATAAGTAACAGTGCTTTGCTGGTCCATATTGGAGCCTACAAAAGGAAAAATCAGTAATACTGTATTTTTAAAATCTTGATATCTTGTTCATTATGGATTTTTCTACATCATCTGATCTTGAAAATTATCACTTGTCTTTTTTTAAAAACCACTTTATTGAGATAAACTTACATACCCTACAGTTCGCCCATTTAAAATGTGCAGTTCAGTCATCTTTAGTATATTCACAGTAGTGCAGCTGTCACCATAGTCAATTTTAGAATCTTTTCGTCACTTCAAAAAGAAACTCTTTAGCTATGACCTGCTTATCACTCACACCCTTCCCCCCTTCCCATCCTTCTGGGCACTCCATGTGAATGGAATTACATAATATGTGGTCTTTTGTGACTGGTTCGTTCACTTAATGTTTTCAAGGTTTAGTCATTGTAAACCATATATGTTGGATATATGTATACACCATACCCATATATGTTGTAGCATGTATCAGTACTTATTTCTTTTTGAGGTAATATTCCATTGTATGGATAAACCACATTTGTTTATCCATTTGTCAGTTGATGGACATTTAAGTTTTTGCCTTTTGGCTGTTATAAGAAATGCTTCTATAAACATTTACATAGAAGTTTTTGTGTGGACATGTTATTTCTCTTGGGTATGTGCCTAGGAGTGGAATTACTGGGTCATATGGTAACTTTATTCTTAATTGTTTGAGGAACTCTCAGGCTGTTTTCCGCAGTGGCTGCACCATTTTACATTCCCAGTAGTAGTGTATGAAGGTTCTGATTTCTCTATATCCTTGCCAACTCTTGTTATTACCTGACTCTTTGATTATAGACATCTTAGTGGATATGCAGTAGTATCTCATTGTGGTTTTGATTTGCATTTCCCTGATGAGTAATGATGTTCATTATACTTATGTGTGGGTATTGGCCATTTGTGTAACCTCTTGGGAGAAATGTCCATTCAGATCCCTTGTTCATTTTTTAACTGGGCAATTTGTCTTTTTTATTATCGAGTTCTAGGAGTTCTTTAAATAGTATGGATACACGTTAGATGACTGATTTGCAAATATTTTCTCCTGTTACATGAGTTATCTTTTCACTTTAGTGATTTTTTGACACAAAAACGTTTCTAATTTTAATGAAGTTCAGTTTTTTTTTTCTTTTGTTGCTTGTACTTTTAGTGGCATGTCAGAATTCTTTGCCAAATCCAGGGTCATGAAGATTTACCTCTGTGTTTTATTTTAAGAGTTTTATAATTTTAGTTCTTACATTGAG